CTATGAGGACTTCAGGTAAAGCCCTCTCTGGGGTTACTTCCCTTCTCTGTCTTTTAATGCCATTGGGACCAGCTTGAGAGTCACTGGACCCCTGTCTCACAAAATAACTGCCCACAGTCCTCTGTTTCTGGGACCTCTTTAACATTTCCCTAAAATGGGACATGGTTCTGTCACTGAACTTGTTGCAAAGATGGCTTGTTTCAGCTTGCTCAGGGTTGTACTTCTGCACAAACATTTGGACATCATTCCATTTGGCACAAATCTCCTTAATCTTTGAAGAAGGCACCTCATCCACTCCCTATATTAACACCTTTCGCAACATCAGCTTCCTTGATTTGTTCTTTCTTTGACAAGATAGAACCGATGGTCGACTTGTTTTTCCCATACGTCCTGGCAAGCTCAACAAGTTTCACACCACTCTCATACTTCTGTATTATTTCCTTCTTCACATCTATGGTGTTTCTCACTTTCTTTACCACAGGGGTACCACTAGCAAGTTTCTTTGGACCCATGGTAGCTTATTTCACAGTCCCACAAGCACTAAACACAACGAAATAATCGTAAAATGCGTGAATGAGAGCGCAGGTTAGTGTTCATGCAAGCATAAACAAAGCTAGACTGCTCACGGCGGATGCACGAGGACGCGGACAGAGCGGGCGGCAGACAGGTCCCGTACCCGGCAGTCCGAAAATAGGGGCGCGTTCGATAATAGGGACACAGTTTGTCCGAAAAAATGGTCCTATTTTCGTAACATTCGATATGTGATACGTTCGATTTTTGAGGTTCCACTGTATATCACAATTCATCTAATTTCACCATCACTCAAGGAATGCATAACAGGTGCATCATTGTCAGTGTTCAGCATTTCTTCGATGTCAGCTTCCTGTAACTCCATTAGCATACAGTCAAGATGAGTAAATAGAATTGTCAACGCTTATTGCTTGGGCACATTTATTCTGTTAGTGGGTTGGATCTGTGAAGGACCTGCCTAGTATGGGCCAACAGGCCTAATGCAGTGTTCCTCCTTTCAAATGTTATGTACCCAGGACACCAATCATACTCATCCCCTCCCACTCATATATTTGTTCAATCTCTCTCTAATGCTACCCAAGGTTTTATCGAAGCTAAAACCTTGGGTAGTTTCAAATTTAGGTTGGATAAATACATGAGTGAGAGGGGTTGGATTTGAGTGGGACTTGCACGTGAGTAAATAGGATTATTAAAGCTTATTGCTTGGGTAGTGTTTATTCTGTTAATGGGCTGAATTTGTGAAGAACCTGCCAAGTATGGGCCAACAGGCCTGCTGCAGTGTATTGTTATTATTAGTATGTATGTATTATTATAATAATTATTATTATTATGATTATTATTATTATTTAGGGAAGTGGAGCACAGATCTAATTCCCTTGATCAAGAGCCCCTCACCAAGGAATCTCCCTTGAGGGGGAAGTTTGCATCCTGAAATTTCGTTCGTATCCAGAAGCAAAAATCGATCGAGTGACTGTTCGTATCCTGAAAAATTCGCATTAGTAAGCCGAGGTTCCTCTGTACTGAACAAACATTTAAAATTATACCAGAAATGTTATAAATGGTGCAAAGGTGACCTTAAAACAATATCAATGATGGTTGACACAAACCCACTACCATTATAGTATGCTCCTCACTTAGTGACGAATTTGTTTACCAACGTGGTCTTAGGAACAGAACTCCATCGTTAAATGAGGAGAGGCTGTATTGTTTGTCATATTAGATTGTGATAGATAAATAAGCCATAGAGTTGTTATTAGCGTTATATTGAAGTATTTTCTCCTGCCTCCCGAAAGACAGGAAATCTGCTGGATTGGATTAATGGATTGGATTAATGAGGAAAATTGATCTGATTTATTTTTTATTTTATTATCACACTGGCCGATTCCCACCAAGGCAGGGTGGCCCGAAAAAGAAAAACTTTCACCATCATTCACTCCATCACTGTCTTGCCAGAAGGGTGCTTTACACTACAGTTTTTAAACTGCAACATTAACACCCCTCCTTCAGAGTGCAGGCACTGTACTTCCCATCTCCAGGACTCAAGTCCGGCCTGCCGGTTTCCCTGAATCCCTTCATAAATGTTACTTTGCTCACACTCCAACAGCACGTCAAGTATTAAAAACCATTTGTCTCCATTCACTCCTATCAAACACGCTCACGCATGCCTGCTGGAAGTCCAAGCCCCTCGCTTGGATATATGAGCAAATTGAGTTACGAGCTCAGTCACAGACCAAATTAAACTCGGAAGTCAAGGTACCACTGTACATATCTTCTTTTAAAATGCACATTAATTAATAAGGAAACTATAATCAACAAATATGCAGTTCATCAAAATTTGTTTGTCTAAGTTTGTCACTTTCAGTACACAGAATGCTCAATGCAGACAACCTCTCCTGATACAATATGGCCCTTAATTCTTTTGAGGCTTGAAAAAGACTTCTCTTCTGAGTAGTTAGTGACCAATAAGCTAAGAAATATCTGCAAGATTGCTTTTACATTAGGGAAGGCCATCTGAATTTTTTTCCTTGTAGGTCTGTATGAGACAGTAAATGCTCTTCTGTAGGTCTGTGGCCTTGTCTTATGTACAAGTGAAAGTGCAAAAGTTCATCAGTAAGTTTCAGGTCAACATTTTCTGGGTATGCTTCCATCCACAGTTCAAGTATACACAAATACAGTTACATAGATTAAGATTATCATACATGGCAGACTATGTAGGTTATCCTAGGTTCTCTAGAACCTAGGATAACCCCAGAAAAGTCAGACAGAGTGACTTACTTCCATTGGGACCAACACCTTGATGAATTTCTTGCTTAGGTGTCAGATTAGCAAGAAAGGAAAACATTTGTGCAGCATCACTGTACACTGTACACAAGGGGGATTACCAACAGACCCCTGGCAGTCTTCAAGCTGGCACTGGACAAGCACCTAAAGTCAGTTCCTGATCAGCCGGGCTGTGGCTCGTACGTTGGTTTGCGTGCAGCCAGCAGCAACAGCCTGGTTGATCAGGCTCTGATCCACCAGGAGGCCTGGTCACAGACCGGGCCGCGGGGGCGTTGACCCCCGGAACTCTCTCCAGGTAAACAGTAGCTCTTCTTAAATTGGCTTCAAATACATCTAGTATAGGAATAAAGGATTTTATCCTTGTCTTGAAGAGAGTTCATCTAAGGCATCAGGACCAGGTGCACTTCTGTCATTTCCTTGTCGTTTCCTTACTCTCTGTCTCCATGTGACAGTTCTGTAGTTAACATTTGGCAAGGTAGCTTTTGCTTGTTGTTGAAGTTAATCAAAATCTTCTCTGATTTTACTTAAAAAATCCTGAAGTGAACTGTAAAAACATACAGAAGTACATGGGTCCAAAAATACAGCATAAACACAAATTCCAGTTTTTCATTTTCTGCAAAAGATTGTTAGCTTGAAGCCTGGTATCACCCTTCTCATTAACATCAGAGTACAAATGACTGAGGGCCTCAGTCAGCTTATATATCTCGCTGCTTTCATGGAAGTACAGAATCAATACAGAAATTAATGCTTGTGTCGAGTTATTGGCTTAAGACAGTATTATTCTGAACTGGAAGTGTTGTTTAGAGATTATAGTGCATTATGACAACACATTGTGACAGTGTCAAAAATATTGTACATCTTGGCTGGAGGCCTAGATTTTGAGGCCCTAGGCCTAGCCTGCCAAGCCTATGTGTAAATCTGGCAACACAGTTTCAACATGATAACATTTGAATGAACAGAAAGCCACTACTGTGACAGAAGTGCATCTGTTATTTGTCACTGTTATGCTCATGTCACATGTACGTACATAACAGTATTGCTAAATATTGGACAACAAGATTCACATGTACTCTAGCATTTCGTGGCCTTATTCCTTGAAACCAATTCCTCTTGTTACATTGTTGCATTTCTTTGACAAGCTAAATCACAACAAGAATGATATGCTGTTCAAAACCAGGGAAGCCTTCATGTATGTACGTATTTGAAAAACAAGATCAGTTAGTTTTTACCTGTTCATTACTCTTGTTATTGAAGAGTCTTCGATGTTGTTCAAGGAAAGATTTTTGAAACAATACACACTAAGCAAACAAAATCTCTTAGATAATTGTTCATAATGTGTGTGTGTGAGAGTGGTATTGTCATTGATTTGATTGTCTACAAGGGATGGACAACAATAGAAAATACCCCAAAATTACTTGGGATCTCTGATGATGAATTCAAGAAAATAATGGAGCCAAATATTGGTAACGGGCATACATTGTTCATTGATAACTGGTAAACAAGCCCTTTACTCTGTCATTACCTGCAATCAAATGATAGACATTTGCAGTACAGTTCAAGGAATAAGGGAACAAACCCAAATTTGATGTATGTACTTACCCAGGAAAATAAGGTGCAAGCTTTCATTGACAATGGCATCATGGCATTTTGGTGTCATGTGACTGTGTTGACCACAATTTACCCAAATGAAATGCAATGTACTGGCCTGGTGGCTAAAGCTCTCGCTACACACGGCGAGGGTCTGCATTCAGTTCCCAGTGTGGGTAGAAACATTGGGCGTGTTTCTTCACACCGGTTGTCTATGTTCACCCATCAGTAAAATGGGCACCTAGGAGTTAGTCGAATGGTGTGGGTCGCATCCTGGGACAAGGACCTAATTTGTCCGAAATGCTCTGCATGACAGAGGGCTTTCTATATAGTAGTATGTCATTGATGTCAGCTAGGCCTGTATACCATGTACATGTACTTGTAGTAAATAAAGATATTATTATTATTAAATCAGAGATACACGTCAACCCATTGTGAAGCCAATTGCTGTGAACGAGTACACTGATAGCATGTGTTTGTTAGACAAATGTGTCATGTAGATTAGTTTTGTAGACTGTGTGCATAGGAGTTTCAAGTGGTACATCAAACTGTTTCTCCACCTTGTTGATATTGCAATGCTCAACCCATATAATATGTACCAGGTAAAGACTGCAAGAGACCAACCTGTGAGAGCATCAATTTGGCCATCATCAGCCAAATCATCCCTAAATACCAGGTTACGCCTGCACCACATCGCCATCACATAGACAACCAAAGTTCCACTTGTCTGGGGCCTGGTAAGCACTACCTAACATCAATTCTTGCCACAGACATAAACATCCCCAGAAGAGGTGTTTTGTTTATGCTAAGGTGACAAAAACAGCAGCACTGGGACACAGGATATGACAGGTATGATAAAGCTCATGGAGCAGGGAGTTTGTGACCTAGTAATGACCAGTGAAGAGGTGGGAACATGAGGTATGACTCAACCCCTGCAACCACAATTAGGTGAGTACACAGGATATGTATGTAAAACCTGCAAAACACTACTCTGCATTGAACCCCTTGAGGAGTTCCACAGGCTCCAACACCTCTGGTATCAGTGTGTACAGTGGACCCCCAGTTTGCGATATTAATCCATTCCTGAGAGCTCATCGTAAACCAAAATTATCGGAAAGCGAATCAATTTTCCCCATAAGAAATAATGGAAATCAAATTAATCCGTGCAAGACACCCAAAAGTATGAAAAAAATAAACTTTCACCACATGAAATATTAAGTTTAATGCAATAGAATAATTACAATAACAACAATAACAATAGAATAATAACAGTAGAATAATTGACACTTACCTTTAATGAAGATCTGGTGATGATTGATGGGATGGGAGGAGGGGAGAGTGTTGAACCTATTGTTTAGAAGTGGAATCCCCCTCCATTAGGACTTGAGGTAGCAAGTCCTTTTCCGGGGTTACTTCCCTTCTTCTTTTAATGCCACTAGGACCAGCTTGAGAGTCACTGAATTTCTGTTGCACAACATATCTGTCCATAGAGGCCTGTACCTCCCATTCCTTTAAGATTTGTCTAAAATGGGCCAAAACATTGTCGTTGTAATAGTCACCAGCACGGCTTGCAATAGCTGTGTTAGGGTGATTTTCATCCATAAAGGTTTGCAGTTCAACCCACTGTACACACATTTCCTTAATTTTTGAAGTAGGCACAGTGGATTCCACAACTGGCATAGGCTTCTCAGGATTAGCCCCAAACTCTTCAAAATCTTTCTTAATTTCCATACTAATTCTCACCCTTTTTACCACAGGGTTGGCACTAGAAGCTTTTTTGGGGCCCATGGTGACTTATTTTGCAGAAACAAGCACCAAAAACAGTGATAATATGGATAATATGGAATGTACCGAATGTATCCTTAGATGCGCGCACACTGGCTGGCTTGTAAACACTGGCACACACGGGGCAGTTCAGGCCACACGTGGACACGTCTCGTACGAATCGTATCGCATACCGGGTTTTGTAACGGGAACCGAGGCAAATTTTTTGCGATATAATGCATCGAATACCGGATTTATCGGATACCGATAGCATCGCGAACTGGGGGTCCACTGTATATGGTGTATATAGACTGTATGTAGTGAAAAAACAAACAAAAATAGCAACAAAGTGTTCAGCAAGTGAATCAAGCTTGACAGTTACTTTAGTGTTACTGAACAATAAACATAAGTGAAATATTATATGTAAACTTAGATACAGGTGTAACAAACATGAAAAATGGAAAATAACTTCACAAGGTAAGCACACATTGCCATATGACAACAAAGATTTATTACCTGGAGTTTACCTGGAGAGAGTTCCGGGGGTCAACGCCCCCGCGGCCCGGTCTGAGACCAGGCCTCCTGGTGGATCAGAGCCTGATCAACCAGGCTGTTGCTGCTGGCTGCACGCAAACCAACATACGAGCCACAGCCCAGCTGATCCGGAACTGACTTTAGGTGCTTGTCCAGTGCCAGCTTGAAGACTGCCAGGGGTCTGTTGGTAATCCCCCTTATGTGTGCTGGGAGGCAGTTGAACAGTCTCGGGCCCCTGACACTTATTGTATGGTCTCTTAACGTGCTAGTGACACCCCTGCTATCTTAAGTACTTATCAGATTTCACCAATTTTTGTCTGACTGGCAGCTGGTTGCCCAAATGTAGATAGAGATTGAACTGGTTTACCACATGTGTTGTGCTTTTATTTTCAGTTTGCATAATTAGGTCAAATATTTTTTATAGGTTTAATTAACCTGGTTAGTAGCCTCTAAGGGGCCGACGAATGAAATATGAGTGATAAAATTGAAATTGAAAAATTATGGAAAAACATGTTTTTTTTTTTACCAAAAAAAACAGTGCATATTTCTGGCAACATGTTGTTGCAATCAGCTTGTTTCTCTCATATTTTTAAGTATGTTTGTTGAAAAATGTAATTTTTTTTGTTCCTGCTGTCATCAAGAGGGCATGATTCCAATTTTTTTTTTTTTTACTCCAAAAATTAAAATTTTTATGATTGTTTCTATCCAAATACAGTATACTAGATGACTTCTGATCACCACACACACCTCTAGAACTCCAGTGACCTGAGAGGGTCGCCAGTGAGAGGTGAGGTGCGCCGGTTGCTGAGATTTGGCGTGCAGCGACCATAGAGTTTCATATGTTAAAATGGGGGGGGGGAGGTTTATCTCATGAATAAGTTATTGACATTTGTAGCCACAATTATTGATAACTACTGGATGGATTGTCATGATTTTTTGGACAGCTTATTGAAGAATGATGGTTCTGCAGAAATACACTAAGGAATTGTGATATTCCTTACCGTTACCTTACCTTACCTCTCACATTGATAAACATCTACAGAGTTCCACAGTAAAACATTAGCCAATTTAGTCAAAACCTAGGAAGTATGATAACTGATGCACGCATGAACAAAGATCACTTACTACTCTCAGGTGACTTCAATATAAATCTCCTGCAAGACCAGGACCCACACATTACTGAATTCACAAACACAATGAGTAACTACATGTTGCTACCAACAGTAACAAAACCTACAAGAGTTACGGAGACTAGTGTTTCCCTACTTGACCACATCTGGACCAACACCATATCCCCTTTAAAATCAGGCATAATTACAGATAATACCACAGACCACTACCCTACTTTCCTCATAACTGAACATTAAAATGGTATAAAATACCGACAGGTTGTTAGGTAAGACACATATGCAACAGTTAGGTATCTTTATCCTCTTCAAGGGGGGGCTCCTTGGCGTGGTGAAGAGGCTCTTGGTCTGAGGAATTAGACCTATCGGTCTTCTTCCTCAGACCGAACCTAATTACCCCCCAATCTCCCCTCCCCTATCCCATCCTCCCCATCCTCCCCTTTTTCCTTTCCTCCTCCTCCTCCCCATCCCTCCCTTTTGCCCTTCCTCTTTTTGTCCTTTGGGATTTCTCCCACAGGCGTGCTAGTTCCTAGGTAGGGGAAAGGATACCGGGGTCCATCCCATTCCGTTGAGGTTCTTAGCGGTGGCGTAATTTGCCGTGGAATCTGGATCGCCGGGGATGTCCCGACCCCTTCTCCGGTATCCCGGATATTTTTGGGGTTTCTTTCGGGCGACGATGTTTTTCTGGAAGCCCCCTTTTCGGATTCCGGGGGTGGTGGCCGAAGGGGTATGTTTTGGGGGGGATATCCGGCCCGCCCTCCTTTTTTGTCCACTGAGTAGCCGGCAGATGTGGGGTTTGTACCCCGGTTTGTTAGTTTTACTACAAATAGGAGGTTGGCACGGTTCCATGCTGCATCTGCGCTACTTGGGGTACTGAGCCCTTTTGGGGCGCGGGGGGAGATTCTGGCCCTTATTCCTCCTGGGACCTACCCTCCCCGGCCCCCCCTTTTTTTTTTTTTTTTTTTTTAATTTTTATTTTTTTTTCTTCTTTTTTTTTTTTTTTAAAACAAAAAGAAAGAAGTAACCTAACCATGGCACCCTAGTCCAAACCGGGGAACCCCCGGCCCCCTTCTTGATCTCACCCCGTTCTGACCCCCCTCGTTTTTGGACCACTCTTCAACATTCCTCATCCTCTGTACCATTGCCGGGCGTTTCCTTTCACCCGCTTCAGGTACGACCCGATTGACTCCTTCGATTTATCGACCTTCGCTCTCCTCTGACTATGTTTCCGGGCCTCTCCCTCTAGGGTGCGGCAATTTTCAAATCGCCGACCCGCCCACTCGCCCAAAACCCTGTCCCACGCCTAAACCCAACGACAATTACCTCTGAGATCTTCTCCCCCTTCCGTTCTTCTCGAACGATCGACACGTCCTTCCCCTCCCTTTTCCACGCTCATTTCAGCTGAACCCCAAATGGACAAAATTCTTCATTTTACGACCAACTTCCTCACTGCTATTTTTCGACCATAGTATTGCAAGGCACTCCTACGCCTTTTGGAAAAGATATTCTTTTCAGCTCTTAAGAGCGGTACTGCATCATTCCCTACAGAATGCTCCCCAGTAAAGAGCTCTCCGTTTTTTTTCCCTATCGATACTTTCCTGTCACCTTGAAAAAATCATTCCCTAAATTTTTGTAGGGTACCGTCATTCTGCCCCAAAACCATAGTTAAACAAAATTTCCAGACATGTGGCACTGACTTTCTAGAACAGCGGGAACTCCAAGATCTCCCAACCCCAAAGGGTAACACTTACGTTCTTCCTGCCCGGGGCGGAGACGATACCCTAGCAATGTGGCTCTTTTAACTTTTGACACCAAACTCCCACCTCAGTTTCATAGCGGGACATGGGTTACAAGTTCGAAAGGGATCCCACCCACAAAGGTAGAAATTGCTGGCGATTTGCCATCCACGAAAATTGAAATCTATCACCGAATCCCCATCTGGGGGAGCCGATGACCATTTAAAACTCTTGCAATCGATTCCCCTTTTTGCCTTAACTTCATGGGGCTCACCCTTCGTACTCTCGCCGTTGTCGGGTCTTTTAAATGGGGAAATCCGTTACCTAAAAGAGACGAAGTCCCCAAATGCCATGGCAGTTTCTATCCCGCCCCCAAAGGAGACCCCACGTGTTTTTATTCCCGGTTTAAAAACCCCCCCACCTCTGTATCCCATCTTCTACACCGCCCTCTGGGTACCTCCCCAAAATCACTCCGTATCAACCCTTTTTTGGCTGTCCTGGGTTTCAACGTCCCCTACTTCAATGCCTCATCAAACCCTCGCTTCTTCAGTTTTTCCTCAAAAGCCTCAGTATCGACAACCTCGTCGACACCCCCTCCCAATCGTCCCTTTTATTTCTCAAAAGTAAAAAAAAGGGGTCCGTAACACCTCCCCCCATCTTCCACCTCCCTTTTTAAAACCCTCCCTTTCTCTGCCCCCGTTTTTCCCCTCCACTAGCTCATTAAAAGTGCAGATTCACCCTCCCTCCTCTAATTACCTTTTCCCCCCCCTGTTCCCCCCCAAGTTTCTTCCTCTTCGCACCCCCAGGTTCCTGCCCTTCTGCCCCTGCCCCTTCCCTTCCCCCCCCTTTTCCCGCCCCCCCCACCTTGGTACAGTCCAAACATTTCCCAATCTTTACTCATCCCCCCCTACCTTTCCCCAATACATTTTGTCCCCCATACGACACTCTAAATTCCGAAACACTTAAGCAGTCTCTGAAAATATTGCAGGACCAAACCATCAATGGACACTGATCCACCTTCCCCCTTTCTCTCTCCTCTGCTCCATCCGCAACTCCTTCTCACAGCCACCTTTCCCTTTTCGCTGCTTGAACGTTTTCCCACTGCCCCGAGTGGACTTTTCAACCCTTTCTAGTCCGTAGGAACCCTACCTGGGGATTTCAAGTATCTTTACATTGCCAATCACTATTTTACAGTGGAATATCCCGGGGCCTAGGGGTAATGGGGGTGACCAGATTTTATTCTCCCATTTTCCCCCCCTGTTGGTGTTTGCTACGGGAAAACCAAAATACACTCTGCGTTTTTCCACATCCAGCTATAATTTATTGTATTCTTCAGATCCTTTTCCTGAGGGGGAACCTTTTAAAATGAAAGTCCCCCTTCTTCTCCGCCATACCGTACCACCTTTTTTTTCAAACCTTTCGCTGATTACACAGCAGCCCGTACCACTTACATAGGGGAATACCTCGTTCTTTAATCTCTCTCCTTCTGGCATTATCATTCCGGTTTTTGCCTTCCTTGTTTCGTCTTTTACCGCCCCCGTTTTCTGACTTGGTGTTTTTAATGTCCACCATTTCCTCTGGGGGGGGTCTCACGTTTTCCCGGGAATCATTTAGAGGCTTTTTTTCCCCACCCACCCCCTCCATTTTTTAAAATACGGGTACTCACCCCATTTTGTCCCCCGACTCAACTCCTTTTTGCATCGATCTCTCGCTGCTTTTTCCCCTCCCCCGCATTAACTTCACTTGGTCTGTTCTCCCGGACTTACATGACAGTGATTTTTTCCCCAATCATTTTTACTTCCCCTTCATACGCCACCTCTTCCACCCCACGCGGGCAATTTAACGGCAAATTGGAACCTTTTTAACTCACCCAATTTTTTTAAAAGGGTTCCTTCTTCGTCCTCCATCGAGAGCTTTTACACCTCTTCTCATCCTCCGTTTTCACCGCAGCTTCTCATTCTATCCCCAAACTTCGGGCAGGCATTCTAAAATGCGGCCTTGGGGTCTCCGTTTGGTCGTGCAGACGTTTGAAACGCGCTGCATGGGGCAGTTCCGGGTACAATAGAACCACGGGGCGACTCTTATTTTAAACAGAAGCGTGCGATCGCTCGCCGTGTCTCCGTGATGCTAAACCACTTGCTGGCGAGATTTGCCCCACATCACCTCTGTTTCCCCTAGGTGCATCGGGAAAAAAGTAAAAAAATGAGTGTAAAAATTCCCTCCCCGGCTCCTGCTGGGTTCCGGGGTTTTTTGATTAGCAAACCCCTAATGTTGCCAAAAGGGCAATCATCTTCCGTTTTTTCTCGGGGACTCCATCTAGCCCCCTTTTTTTCCCTCAAAGTCGCCAAAGTTACACCCTTTGGACTTTTCTTCTCTCAGAAAAACAGAAAAATGTGCCTTTTACACTTCAAGAACGGGAGGCAACACCCAGCTTGTCGATCATGGGCAGCGGGCCCCCCACGACATTCATATTCGTATGCTACAAATTTACATCATCACCCCTTGCAGTCCATTACCCTTTTCAATCTTTTTTTGGTCACAAGGGGTTCTTTCCCCAGTGGAAACCGCCATTGTTTCCCCCTTTCCCCCAAACCAGGGACTACGGACATGAAACCTCCCACACGTCCCATTGCTCTTACCCGTGCAGTTTGCAAAATAATGGAACCCTAGTAAAAAGACTTTAGTTGGTATTTAGAGACACACAACATCTCTCCACTCGCAAAATGGCTTTCGTAAGGGAAAGTTCTACCAAGACCCCTTCACGTTTTATAGTTGTTCGTAATGCCTTTGCGAATAAAACCCCATTTTTGCCCATATTTTTTGACCTTGAGAAGGCATATGACACAACTGGAGGTATAATATTTTTTGCCCAACCCACTCCTTAGGCCCGAGCAATCTACCTCCTTTCCTTAAGAACTTTTAAATGACAGGGATTTTTCCGGTTCGGGTTAATAAAGTGCTCTCCCCCGGCTTTTTCCAAGCTGAAGGGGTTCCCCCAGGGATGTTTTCGAGCACAACACTTTTTCCCCCTTTTTATTAATGATTTGGGCCCCTAGTCTTCCCCTGAAATATTTGGTCATCACTCTAATTTTATACTTCGCATTCCTGTGCAGGGGCTGACTTCACCCCCTTTCGTTTCTCTCCAACATGCATCGATCGGTTTCCCAATTGGCCACCACATGTGGGGGTTTTAAATTTTTCCAGCCTAAAAAAACCCCCAAAACACTTTCCCCCAGACGCTCTGTCATCTTTCCCATCACCTTTGTACCTCTTTGGGGTTTCCCCTACCCTGAACGTGTTCAGTCAAGTTTTTGGCCTCCTCTTTGATCGTGGGTTTTCCCCGGAAACCTCACTTAACCCCTCTGAAGGGAACTGTCACAGCCCTGAAACCCCTTAAAAACCCCTTCTCATCTTTCGTGGGACTGATCGCGAACCCCTTTCGCCTACATTCCACCCTTTTTTTACGAAACTTGATTATGGTGACCAACTATCAGCGGGACTCCTCTAATCTCTCTACCTTAACCCCTTCTCACCAAATTTTTCGTTTATCCTTGTTGCTTTCGCTCTTCCCCCTCGAGAGCCCTATGCAAAAGCAAAGTTCCATCCTTATCCCATCGCCAGAGCCCTTCCTGCGACTAGTAGCTCTCATGATCTCCGCAACCTTCCATTTATAGAAGGTCATGAAATTAGTAGACATTTTTATTTTTTGGCGCCCCCCGTTACTCCCCCTTTCTCTCTTTGCCTTTATTCGCTCTTTTTCTCCCTTTACACCACCTTTTTAAGTACATTAGCATCCACTTTTCCTACCCCC